CGGGGAAGTAGTTGTTTTTCGACAAACGTTTATTATAATCCACTCTCTAGGTAGTTGGGAGAGAATTATATTTGGAAATTCATTTCGAAATATTCATTTTCTTATACAAATATTTTGATTGTTGAAGACAACATGGATGCACTTCAAAAAACTGCTGAGGATATATATGGTAAAATCACATTGTGGGCTGAAAAGAACAATTTGAAACTCTACAAATCTAAAACTGACACCATATTTTTTAGCATACGTGGTCAAAGGGAATCAAATGTGATACTAGTCCTGTAGAAACCGTAATTACACTAGGGATTGTTTTAGATGAAAAATTTATATGGAGTCAACATATTGATACATTATGTAATAAACTGAAGAGAAGCTGCAATTCTATTAGATTCATGTCAAATCACTGTAGCTCTAGTATACTCTTCTGCCGAAAGCATATTTCTTCTCCAGGAATATGCTTTAGAAAAATAGCTGAGCTATGGTACCGAGATTCATGTAGATATGCTTTTAAACAGCTGAAAATTCTTACGATTGCCAGCACTTATAAACTAGAGGCTAGTGCATAAGTTCACAAAAATAAATCCAATTTTCATTCCTCCCTTCCAAAACATAAACACAATACTCGTTCTAAAGATCTAATCTTACCAAACGCTATCAGAACTTCTTTGTATGAAAAAAGTGTAGAGTACAGTGGTTGTCAATTACACAATATGTAGTAGTAGTAGTATATATTTGGTGCTAATACAAAGTTTACACAGGTCATAACAGATATTGCTTATCTATAAATATAAAATATTCAGATAACTTGAATGGTTAAATGGACAATTACTATAGATATACATACATTTGTGACTGGCACTTCGCGCAACGAAAAAATGACTGTTTGGCTCTTATCTTCATTAAGTTCAAGATTATTTACGGCAAACCACTCACTGACATTTGTCAGAGTATCATCGAATGTGGTACGCGAAGTATCAATATTATTTCCAGAAATTGATACAGTTGTATCATCAGCAAACAACACGAAGTTAGCACTTGTGTCACTAAATCTTATATCATTGAAGTAAATCAAGAAAAGGATCGGTCCCAATATCGACCCCTGGGGAACTCCATACTCAATAGGAAGTAAGCTAGTAAATTTGCTATTCAAGTAAACAGCTTGCTGTCTGTCGTCCAGATAGGACTTCATCAGTTTAAGACTGCCTGTAGATAATTTATAATATTGAAGTTTTGAGAGCAAAACTTTAGGGCAAACACAATCGAACGTCAGCTGAAAACTGAAAAAAATGCTACTTCAAAGGACTGGTTACACCATTCAAGAGTTCACTAATCAACTAACATAAGATCTTTGGCTTTAACAAATTTGTTTATAGTGTTTGCTTTGGTGCAGGCCCAAGTAACGAAGCGAAATTCGCCTAATTGTGATCTGCGAAAGGTCGAGTTCTTGTGAGCAACGCAAATTCGATCGCCTCCGATTCTCCTGCACACCCTCACAGACAGTGGCAGTGTTTTAGGCAGATCTTGCGTTTCGTCAACATAAGGGTGTTGGTCACCATTTTTGGTATAACAATTTTATTATTTGCATGTGTTGTTCAATGCTATATCCATCCATGATGATTTGGCAAAACCGACGGAATGAATGACAAATAATTTGACAGATGTGGCTTCAACAAGATGCTCGTTATCAATTGTCAAACTTCGGAAGTCCCAGACCCTGTGTTTACAATCATTGATGATACACACAAATCATCATTTAACAGAATAAAACCGTTACTTGATATGGAATTGTGTTCGTAGTAACAAATCTCAATAGTTTGTTCATTCATCGGAATTGAACTAGAAATTCATCGAAATAAAAATTTCTAATGAATTCCAAATTATTTAATTAGAGGAATGTGAAGCTTAAGCTACAAGACTCATTAGGGACATTGAGGAAAGTTGGTTTACTCTTTGAAATGAAGCTGTTCATGATTTCGAAAAGCCTTTCAACAACTTCAATTCATATTTTTAATTGCCACTCGAAGAACTTTGCAGCGTTTCTAGCCAAAGTTTTAGTTTCGTAACGCAACAGTGTTTAATTGATATTCAGCTCATTTGCTTTATTAATTTCTTCCAGCCGGAAGTTGCAAAAAGTTTGAAGAAATGCTTTATGGTGGTTTGAAATTAATAACGAAGTATTTCATTAATATATTCATTGCGAATATACTCATTGCTTTGCGAAGAATAAAAACTCAAAGTCGTCTCCCCAATTTATTATCACCCTTAGATGATAGAACGGTAAAATCATCAGTCAGTACATGTTCCGAACCTGTATAGGTTCATCATCAGCTGATTATAAAAGAACCTATACAGGTTAGAAACCGTTCTAAGATCTGAGGGTGATAATAAATTGTGGAGACGACTTTGAGTTTTCATTCTTAGCAAATCTACTGCACTCCAATTTGAGATATAATGAACTTCTACCAGAGGTTATTATTCATTGCTATTGCTGAATTGTTGGGTTGGATTTTGTAAATCTTAACTTTTTTCAAATCATGAGAAAGTAGCCTTTGTGAAATGACAAATGACTAACTCTACGTGTATGTGAGCAACTACAGGCGTGATTGATATTCTGCTTGAACGAACTTTTTTACTTCTGCACCTTTTACAGTGTGTTGGCACTTTGAGCAATATTCTTTACCAAATTAACTAAAAGAACAATTTCTTCAGGCCACACTCGACTCTTCTACACTGTAGGTTGATGGACTGATACCTATCAGAAAACAACTGTTCCCCTGGCTAATACCACGAAGGGCTTTGGATTATATCCGACAGGTGTCAGTGCAGGAATCTTCCCAGAAGTACTTTCTGCATATCATGTTTGCGAATCGTCGCACAACTCCGTCCTTTCATGTCTCTCTTCAATCTTGAGAATAAGATAAAGTCGCAGGGAGCCAAATCCGATGAATACGGTGGCAGAGGCATGGTTACGGTGTTGTTTTTGGCAACAAAAATAAGAACAACCCATGACGACTGGACAAATGATAGTGATGTAAAAGCCATTAATTGTTCTTCCACAATACCAGACGTTGTTTAGGTATTGCAATTTTGGAACGCCCAAAATTTCCTAGAAAATTGCTAACCCGAAATGACCGACCGAAACCATCTGTTAATGACTCCTTGCATTTGTTTCTGCAACCAAGTGTTGCCTAACCTTGCACTTGCCTATACCGTACTGATGACAGCTAATGAGCTAGGAACACGGGTCTGCGGTTTGTATTTTTAACTTACTTACTACTTAACACACGTCAATTTGAAAGTTAAGAATCGATTTCCGGAGCATAAATACGGGACCCGAAAAACAAGGTTATCAGTGTTCAATTGTAACTGAACAAAGTGAGAACAAAGCCAGTGACGAGACTTGAGGGTCAAGTAGATTACGACCTAGTCGTCGAGTCAAGTAATAACAGATGAAAACTAGAGACGCGAATGAAAAATCCATGATCCATCCGATAAGCATTGAAATTCAGTGAAATGCAGACTTCTTAGCTATAGAAGTTTTTTTGATTATTCCATTATTTTGTTGGATATTATAATGTTATATGAGCAATCTATTGGACGTCTAATACTCATTGGTTTCCGTTAGGATATCGGATTATTCAGCTTCAGATGATTTCCATCGTATATTCAATCAACTATAACTGCTCACTCAACTGAATATTAATTCGAAGGGTTACAGAGCACACGGAATACAAACAAGATTCAGTGAGAATTTACATTGATTCCCTTCAAGAATTCATCAAACAGGAAATTTTGATAAGATTTTTAACTATCGAAACGAACGTCAATAATGATTTGATAATTGATATCACCAGCTAAGTTAGTTTGGAAATTCCTCACCGAGAAGAGAGAGGGAAGACGTGAAAGCAATCAAGCGACTTATGAATAGTCTAGAATATTGTAAATAGATCAGTTATCGCCCAAAGTCCATTGTGGATACCTATAATCGAAACGTCGTGGAGCCGTTCGTTTTTTTTTTTTGAATATGTCCTTTCTCTCAGGAACTGTTATATTTTTTATTGATGAAATATCATATTTCAATTTTCACTATCCTATTCCCAACGAAGAGGGGAAGCCTACAGCATAATCTATAGTTTCCTCAACTGACAGATTATTGTGATTCCTCGGCTAAATGGACTGCTGAATGGAGGGCAGCTGAAAATTTTCGCGGATGACTTCTGTGGACATTTTTTTTAAAATCTCTTCAAAATTAAATATTTTTCGGAGCAGCTTGTCCCCAAATGCCTGAAACATCAACAATGACAGGCTTGAACATCGTAATTGTGTTTTTGAGGCTTAATCTGAAATTACCTTACTCTAGAAATTACCTGTTTTTAGATTACTCATGATATTAACTGTAAGGAAGATATTGAGTGCGGGAAGTTTTCAAATCGACACCCTGTATATAGAAGACTATGTAAAATACACTTCGATATCATCTCAAAATTGAAAAGTATAATTCAAATTCCTCAACAGTATAGAAACATTCTCTGATAAGGAGTTCTATACTTAAAAACCGCCAGGGATCCTGCGTTCTACTTAGACATTAATGTATAAGTACATTCTACTTATACATTAATGTATAAGTTTGAATATGTTCTTATAGGACAAAACTGCAGCAACTTCAGTTATAAATAAAAGTGGTGAAAAACATAAAGTTTCAATTCTCTTTTTTTCATTATGATTTCCTACCACGTAGTAACGGCTTCATGCATCAACTTATTGTTTTTCCGATTATACGCTACAAAAACTGTACCACTGATTTTATTTCACTGATTAATAAAAGAATGTTTTGGATTTGATCAACATCATAATCTGTTTCAAAGGCTAATGATTATTTTGACACCTCTATTATCTGAAATTCAATTCGGATCAATGGATTACATGAACAAGAATCGAAATTCGCTTCTACCCATAGAGGTTATTTAATGATATTGTTATTCGCGCAGTTATATGGTAATTTGAGTGATACATTAATTTCAAACCGTGATGAGAAATAGTTAGTGGGTTATTATCCCTCGAACTTGATTGTGCTGAAATTAAACGTCCAAGTGAAAAGTTATTTGTTGAAATGTTTTCAACAGCATTGATCAAAGTTTGGTTATATATGACGATGGATCATTTCCTTCGAGTTTACTGCGCTGGAATGAAAGGTGAGTTTTTTCGTTATATTCTAATCTGCAATTATTTGAAGGGTACGACTATTCACTTGATATACATCTCAAAACGATCTCTATTCTTTGAAATATGAAGATACAATTTAAAAATATACAGCGTGACTCACGGTCGATGGTAGGTTAGACGTTTCTGGAAAACGCAAAGCATGATTTTTCTGAAAATTTCACCTCTCACATTTCCTTACCTGTTCTATGGATCTAAAATA